CCAATCCCATCTGGATAATTCAAGCAGTGAAAACAGTAAAAACTGAGTTTTATTAGTGTGAAATGGCCCATAAATACCTCTTCTGGACAGTTAGGTGGACAAGGCAAACGTTTCCCTTCTTTTAATGTATTCACAAGTCTTGTTACTGTCATCTGGCCATGAGTTGGGCCTATCATTTTCAGGAACAACTATGTAAAATAAAACCAAACAAAATATTTTACTTTGTACATATTTATGTGAACAACAGATAGATTACAGTAAAATTTCTAGAATTGGAAATTAAAACAATAAAAAGTCTTTAAAAATGAAAAGTCCAAGACAATTTTCCTTTCCATTATAACATTATAACTGGATTCCGTTTAAGAATGAAACTTACAAAGCAGAAGGATGGACACATTTTAAGTGGGTGCTAGATTCAAAAGAAGGACAAGTAAGACTTACCGCCATGGGACTGGAATCTGAATCACAGTAAGTAAGCAGCTCATGCAGAGTTACTCCAAAAGACCAGACATCAGAGGCGATATAAAACTTACACTGAATTAAACATTCTGGAGCATACCTGAAAGAAAGCAGAATGTGAAACTGCATTTCCTGGGAAGGATATTCCAAAAAGCATTAGAGTAACTCAGAAAAATCAGCACTCTGTTTTTTCTTAGAAGACATTTAAGTGTGTATGCATCAGTCACATATATGCTGCTGTGGTGCACATCTGATATGTGGACGATACCCCTATGGGCTCTCATTACACATTTGCTCCCAAACATCAGTCAGACTAGTCTGTGCGCCTCATTTCGCAGAGCATAGGCTCTCCATGGGGAGGGGATGGGGGAGGAGGTGATGACGACAGGCCCGGGCTTCATTTGCCTGCAAGCTCAGATTGAGTCAGCAGTGGATTACTGCCCAGTCCTCTTCCAGTGTCAGCTGTTTTGGTGAATGATACCCAATTGCCTGAGCCAGAAACTGAGGCATCCCCATATCCAGTCTGAGAAATACTTCTCAAACCTCCTTACTTCTAAACCCCACCATCGCACACCATCGCTGGCTCTGGCCAAATCAGACTCCCTGGTTCCAGTCTTGCTCCTCTCCTTCCCACAGTGATCTTTTTAAACAGAAGTCCCTGTCCTTAATCCCCCCAACAGCAACCCAAAGCTCTTGGGATGGAGTCCCAGCTCCATAACTCAGCGTCCAGAGCATTGCCTTGGCAACCGCCAAGACCTCCCTTCATGATCCAGCCACACGGAGCTGATTCCAGTTCCTAGGATAGCCACTGCTCTGTCTCACTCGTGCCATCATACGTGCCGTCTTCTAACCATCTTTACAAACCCCCAGCAATCTTTTAAGGCCGGATTTTAAAAGAACTTCCAGAAAACCAAGCCTGAACCCTTTTCTGGTTATAGTACCACGAAATTGGCTGCCTCACCCATTAAATTCTAAACTTGGTTGGCTTGTTCACCCTTGTTATCTCTAGTACCTGGCACAAAGCAGGGCCTTGATACATATTTCTTTAATGAATAAATGGAGGTTTGGCCTCCGTGGGTGGAAGAGACCCATGTCGTGTCCATACAGGATGTACCTCGTGGTGCCAGTCAGTTCTACAGGACAGAGTGGAGACTTTAGCAGCTTCCCCCATGGATAGTGTTCCAGTCTGAGAGGGGTCAAAGTCAGGGTGTGGCCCACCAACCAGGATACTCTGGTGATTCATGAGAAGATGGCCAAGCTTCTTATGGAGTTTTGCTCTGTTATGTCCAGGCTCTACCTGAATCTGCCAATGCCCACTCGTCACCTCCTTCCTGTCATCTTCCTGCCCCCTCCTCCTACCTGCCCTCCAGACTTCCTCTGCATGGATGTGATTACTCCAGCTGCTAACAGTTTTAAGAACTGTGTCAGAGGAATGCCTTCTCCAGGCAAGATGGAGATGCTAAGCGTTGTAAGACTTCTTCCTTGGAAGATGTCCTGTGAAGCTCAGGCATTTCTGCGAGTTGCTTTCAGTAAAACAGCTTATAAGATGTTTCTTGAAGGCAAAAAAATCAGTCAATTCCAAATGATCTAAGTCTTTTTCTTATCTGGACTAATAAGAGACATTAACATAGCTAGAAAGGACCTATCAGAACAGTGGAAACCCTATGAAGCACTGATGAAATCTGTTTAATTCAGTTACCAAAACACAGGGCTGTCCCGATCGTCCTTGACTGTGTAGTACTCCTTATCAGTTTCAATGGCTTTGGTTAGACCAAAGTCCCCAATTTTCACTTGGTGTTCACTCTCAACAAGGACATTTCTTGCTGCTAAGTCACGGTGAACGTATTGCCGAGAACCCAAATAGTCCATCCCCTGAGGGAGAGAAGAAAAGGCAGAGCACATTGCTGAAGGTCAGTTCAGATTGGATTCTGTATCTACCACTTCATAACAAAAATATATATATAAATGTCATTTCATTCACATATCACTTTTTTTGTTTTTACTTCTTTGCAAAAATAGACCAACCTGATTCCAAGAAATTTAACAAATCAGTTCACTTTCTTAGCAGAGGCTAATTTTCAATCCAAATCATGCAGAACAAAATAAACTCAGTACAATTATTGGAAATTATTTTCCACTTGCAGCCTAATTACAAACCAATTATCCAGGACAGAGTGCCTGATTTATAAATTTTTACCAGGCTCTTTTGTTTTTTCTTTCTTTTTACCTTACAAATCTGAACGGCGTATTTTAACTGCTGTTTGAGGTTAATTTTGTTCTTATTCTTTGGAAGATACTCCTTAAGACTTCCTGAAGGCAGAAATTCCATGATGAGCTTAATACCGTTTCCTCCTGTTTAGAAAAAAGAAATGGAAAAACAAAAAAACCATCAGTACAAGGTTGCCAAATGAAGGAACTGTGGGAGTGAAGGGCACAGGATCTGGAGACAGAGGACCTGAATCACAGGCAAGTTGCTTAACCTCACAGGTTTCAGAGTCTTGGGATCCTCAGCAGTGAACAGGGTACCTACCCCAGGGTCATCAGCGCTCACTGAGACAACACAGTGTTCTGCAAACCACTAGGCAAATGATGATTTTCAAAAATTATGAGCCACATCATCTCACTACCAATTAAAAAATATAATACATGAGTATTGTACTGGCTTGTAAAAAAGATACACTTATTAGTAAACACTACTTGCCACCGTGATTTAGAAAACTAGAAAACGAAGTACGCTGCTTAGTGCTGGATCAAAAGAACAGGGAAAGGGGAGGAGTGGGCATCAGTTTCATCTCGTCTCTGTGCCCTCGTGTGCAGATATCAGGACAGGGGAAGTCCAATCCCTAGTGTGGGTGTAGGAACGGCCAAGAGAGACAATGCTGGAATCACCCCCCGCCTTGGCGGGGAGGCTGGGCAGCTTTCCCGGGAGCTCTGCAGCTGCTGAGGGTTCTGACAGTGCATACTGTTTTGAAGCCCTAGAGCTCTGGGGTCCATCAGCTAGCACTCAGGCAGCCCAGATGAGGCCAAGGGCACTGCCTGCTCAGCACTGGCCTTCATGACCCCTGATAGTCACTCAGTCTTTAATAACCAACCCCACTTTGCACAACATACCATCTTCTGTGCAGATGCCTTTATACTTCACAATGTTCTCATGATAAAGGTTTCTTAAGATTTCAATTTCCTTCTTCAGATCAGCTATGTGATTCCCTCCGCTCTCAGGCTTCAGGGATTTGACGGCCACCTGCTCCCCTGTATTGTCCCCCTCAGGGTCATACCTGCAGAGCTCGACCTTCCCAAAGTGGCCCTGGAGGGAAAGATGTACGTGCTTGATCAGAGAAGCCCTGGCCTGGGCCAGCAGGACACACTTCAAAGATGAGCCTTGCTCCTCGTGCTGTTCCCCTGAAGGTGGGAGTGCACGCACAGTCTGACCCTGCAGGCAGCAAGCTCCTACCTGGTCTCTTCCCCACTTGGCTTACCTGCCATTCCTTCTTCTATTACTGAGCTAAGACAAGAAAAGGATCAAGTGACTGGTGAACCAACACATCAATCCCAATTTCCACGAAAGTGTAACCCAAAAGGAAATGGAGGTTATTTCTGGACATGCAGGACAACCTCGGCAT